TATTAATATCATCAAAATGTTGAGCCCTTGTTTGTAAAATGTTTTCACACTGACTTTAATTTATAGATGTTACTATCAAAACACTAATAACAAACAAAAAATCATCCCTTGACTGCCATTACGTTGTTTAAAATGATCAGCCTGTCTGTGTAGAAGGGAGGGGGATGGGTTGGTAGTTACTATTTAAAGCTTTTATAAAGTCCATACTATTCTTTCGCTGGTCAGGTCAGGTGCTTAGATTAACAGTAGAGGATTATATTGTAAATCAAGCATACACTGTATATATTCACTATGAAATAATAATAAAGTAAGTTGTAAAATTCTGTGTGGCCTTTTTGAGTTCATTAATATTATTGAATGAACTCTAAAAATGAACTCATTTTTTTTAATGAAAAATCAGGTGCTATATATTACCGGAAATTCAAATACTTTCTACTTATTTCTTTTTCCTTCACGAACAAATATAAGACTTTTTGGTTCATATTTCAGCGTTCATAAGCTGTCTCCCTTAAAATCACTGTATTTTGTGTTACTTGTAATGTTTCTAATTTATTTTTTTAGGCGACTTTTTGACTTTTTCTTTTTTCCTTCGGGTGTTCTTTAATACTGAACAGCTGACTGGTGGGTAGTCTCAAATGTCATACGTCTGCACCCCAAAACCCATGGGGGACGCGGGGGGGGGGGTGGGGGATGGAGACTCTACTCTCAGGAAACCAGTATGAAGATTGTAAAGGCTTTATTTTATGTCCATTAGTGATGGTGTCGATTACAAACGAGAGACTAAGTCAGCTGACACTGAGCTATTGTTCATTGTTCACGCTCAACAAACGTAACATGACATAACATTGCAAAACATGACATTGTTTTTAATAAGTACAAATAACTATTATTATTAATTTTTTTAATAAGGTGTATTAGTTCCTTTTTTAGTTTTAAGATCCGTTGTCCCTTTATCATTAATGCCTGAGTCGCACATAGCGGTTGGGTGCCTAAGAACCAGGGGGCTGGAGCTGCCGACCCCTAACCCAAGTAGCAAGAACACCCCAAAAGCCTGCCCTACCCACAACCCAGCCACTAGCCCTGCCTGCCACACCCAGCCCCAGCCCAAGCACTCGTCACACTGAACAGAGGGCTCAGTGGAGATATAAGGACAATAATAATAGCAAGGGTTGATGTGGGAGGGAAAAAAAACACTAAAACTGAGCAACACTCAGCAAGACACCCTGAACACTATGCACTGTAAAACTACGAGCACATATAAACGTGCACACTTAATTGCAACAGTAGACCACTGACCCATAGGGCACCGGGAATTGCCCCACAACAGGCCTAGTACAGTAACCCAAACCCTGGCAAAAATGCTAGCACACAGGATAACTGCCAGCTCGCCAAAGCATGCCAATAAAATGCTAACAAACACAAATGCCACGCCAACACCACGCTAACTCCAAGCCAACTTCTGAGCAGCTAGCTCCTTGTCTGGTCGTTAACTAAGTTAATTAACAATTATTCCTCGAGCCTGAGTGGGCTCTGAGTCAATAGCCGACTCAGAGGCCATGAGGGTGAGAGGAGTAATTGTTTTAGTGAAATCCAACTAGTTGGTCAAAAATATCGAGACAAACAACTTTAGCGAGCAAAATGCGATTCAGCCGCCACTGTTTTGGTTTTCAAAGCCAGCGCTTTTTGCTACTAGTGGGTTATAACATATAGCCTAGTGGTAGCTCAACCAATCAGAATGCAGCATTGTTAATACACAACTAGTTGGATGTTACTAAATAAGTATATTAACCTCATTATAACTCTCAAACTTGACCTCTTGGGATGTACTAGTATTAAATGTGTTAAGTGTCTTAAACCGACTACTGCAGTTTTAGGTGCAAACAGTACCATCCCTCTGAACAGAGTGGCACCATAATCCTCTTCCCCCTTTCAGTCCACAAACTGTTGGTACTTTTTTATGCATTTTCACACATATCTGCAAAAATCTTACATACAACTTCAACTATTGCCCCACTTAATTAAGGACACATATGTCACTAATATAAGCAGTTGGCTTCCCTGTGAGGTCTCTTTAGTCCCAATGTCACTAGTGGAATATTTTTTACTCATATCAGATGGTGAGTATTGTCTTTGAACAGTTTAGAAATCACAGTGCAAATCTCCTTTTAAGCTGGGCTTCATTGTATCGCTTAACTTAATGCTTCTGTCAAACTTAATTGTCTTTTTATATAGCTTTACTGTTTTGTTTGTTGTTTTGTTTGTTTTTTTACATATTTTTTAGACCCCGGGACCACCGTAATTGGCTTACTGCTGTTGTGGTATTTGTACCTAATTAAGCAGTTATTCTCCTTTGTTTCCAGTGCATATTAATTTTATTATCCTTTATTTTTTTCCTCTCTCTGTTTTTTATCACATTATGGGCAAAGCTAATAATGTAATAATGTCTTTGGTTAAATTTAGGCTTCACTGACCTATCAAAATTCCTTCTCTACTGCCTTAGGTATTGGGAGTTACCTTTTTTGCTTGAAAATGCCTCAAAGTCATAATTTCACCTAACAGTGGTGACATACCTTATCACCAAAGTTGTCCAAATTGTTGGAAAAAAAAGGGTTGACTTGGTAATGGCCTTAAGAACCATGTTAGGGGAATGGAGTGGCATTCAGACCCTTTGTTGTCCTGGAGGTAATCCTGCATAATTTGCATAACTTGCAGCTGTAGGTAAATTGAGACTCTTGAAGGGTACAGCTTTTATAATGTCATGTGTGGGGTTAGTAATCTAACTTGTTGGAAACTGGGGGAAATCCATCAGAGTTCAGACCAGAATAAATTTTTTTGTTTATTAACTGAGTGTTCAAACCTGTGTTGGCACCAAATGACTGCCTATAGAGCTACTACATGTACGCACTTAGTTTAGGTTTTCAAGAAAATAATGTCGAATAGTTGAATAGCCTGGGGAAATGAAAGTAGCCTGAGCAAATGGGCGACATTTCAGAAAATTCCAGAAATTCCATACTGATGACATGTCAAAACCCAGATCTGGTAGTGCTTTTGATTGGTTGAAGCAAACTTTCAGCCAATCAGACCTACTACCCAGATTTGGTTACTGAAAGGTCACCAGTATGAAATTTTTGTCCTCATTTCCCAGATGTCATTTTGCAGGGAAACCAGTTGTGGTGAAAAGGTGAAATGGTGGCTGTTCTCTCAGGCTGTTATAAGAAAGGGTGGAAATGATTACATGAATGTATTTTTAACAGTTTGTGTAACCTCCATCCTTCCTTTGTACAGTGGAAGCCTGCCTTATGGCTACCTCAGTAACACGGTCACCTCGTTATTATGGCCACTTTTTTTCGTGGGCTATATTTCCTTATATAAAACCCCTGTTAATGTGGTCACCTGTTAATATGGGCAATGGCCACATTTTGAAATCCCAAAAAATGGAATCTCCTATAATTTCACCCCGTTAATACGGCCACTTGTTCGATGTCAGTTTTATTGATCTAAGTACTCTGAGCCTATTGTTGTACTGTTTTTAGACAACAGTACACATAAAGTGCACTTGTTGCGATTTTTTAGCCGAATTTTAGAAGCATGTACTGAAGGAAAATTTTAAGTATTTTTTTCAATTACTGTCTGCGATATCTACATTCCAGTTGGTTATTGATGACAACAGTTGTTCAAGAAATGCGAATGTGATATGCGTTGTATTTGTCATTATAGGGCCCTCAAGTCATGAAATTTGAGCCTGCCCCAATAATATGGCCACCCCGTTGATATGGCCAAACTTTTCTGAATCATTGGTGACTGTATTAACGGAGTTCCACAGTACAGTCTTGCTAATATTAGATGCTTAGCCGCCGCATAACATACCACTCTTATGACTTATAACATTTTTTTAATATGTTAATACTGAGTATTGCGCAGTTTTACTATGAAAATAGAAGTAAAAATAAACTTAAAAAATTATTATTATTTTACAAGTTTTTTGGTATGAATTCACAGAAATTCCATCTCAGTGCAAGTGATGCATTCTGGGCTTAATATTGTTGAATGTAAAAATAATCTGGAGAATCTGAATTGGAATGTACTCCCGGTTCTTTGTTAAGTTAAAGTTTCTTTCCTTTCTTTTTTTAGCTGCACTCTGGTTATGAAAGGCCATGCACATAAAAAAGGACAAACATTAACATTACCTTCACAACTGCCACATCTATTAAATTGTACATTTGTTATGGTTCCTTATCCTACTATCCTATGCACTATTGGTTTGATTCTTTTCAGAATCTCTCTTTTTATTAATTCCATGCTTTGCTGATGTACCGGTAACTTCCTTTGTGTAGTTTGTGATGCCTTTGTATGAGCAAACCAACTTAAAAGTCATTACTTTTGTCCAGAAACAGGAAATAATTCGGATTTGTTTTTCATGCTGATGATAATGATGATGACGATGTTGATGATGATGATGATTATTATTTAATTTTTCTCATTCTTTTTCATTTTATTTGTTTATTTTGGCCTGTAGAACAAACCAGACGCAACTTTAACTCTTCTCAGTGTACGTGTGAGGCTAAATACTCTTTCCTGAATCTTATAAATAAAGTTTTATGTTATGTTATGTTATGTTATGTTTTTTTGGTTGTTGGTTTGTTGTTTTTTAGTAATGTAGCCTGTAGGTGTATTGTAAAATGTGAAAGTATTACAAATAAATGAGAGAAAAAACCTGGATTTTAAGTACTTTGTATTGGGCACAGTTATCATTATTCCATCTGACGTATTCCATATGACGTCATATAGACCCTTGCGTTTAGGCGAGGATTAAGGCTAGGAAACACTTTGTGATGTCTATCATAAGGGGCATGAATCTTATTAACTTGCATTCCTAGACATAGAAAGTCAAACCACAACAGGAAGTCACCATTTAAACACTTACTAGTGATAATTTTTTTAAATCGTTTTCTATGTTATGTTTTCTTTTAGGTGTTTAGCCATTCTGATTATGCTTGGAAATGGCATCTTTTCTGGAAAGATCCCGCAGAGTGCAAGTCACCATTTTGGCCTCTGAATGGGGATCGAGCAAAGGAGGGCTGTCCACCATAAACAGAGAATTAGCCATTCAGTTAGCCAAATGCCCTGAAGCGGAAGTCACTTTCTTCCTTCCAAAATGTAGCGAAGAGGACAAAAAATTAGCCCTCCAACACAACGTAACGATTATCGAGGCAACTCGCCGGCCTGGCTTAGAAGAACTGGAGTGGCTTCTCTTTCCACCAGAATATTTACAAATAGATGTAATCGTTGGTCATGGGGTTAAACTTGGCAAACAAGCTCAAGTCATTAAAGAATCTAAAAAGTGCAAATGGATCCAAGTCGTACACACAGACCCAGAAGAGCTGGGAATGTTTAAGAACTATTCCAACCCAATATCCAAGGGTGAAGAGAAACATAAAACAGAGGTAGAGTTGTGTGAAATGGCGGACCTTGTTGTAGGAGTTGGACCCAAGTTGAGTGAGGCCTTCCGTTCGTATCTTCGAGGATGCCAAAAGGATAAAAGTGTAGTGGACTTGACTCCTGGAGTATTTGAAGAATTTTTCAGCGTGAGACAGGTTGTAGAAGAAAGAAAACAACGCAGTGTCTTGGTGTTTGGTCGTGGGGACGCAGAGGATTTCGAACTAAAGGGATTTGACATCGCTGGAAAAGCAGTTGCAGCATTACAAGATACTCGTCTTGTGTTTGTTGGCGCCCCAGATGGAAAACACGACGAAATAGCGAAGCGGTTAACCCAATGTGGTGTTCCTGCAAGTCGCTTGAGAGTAAGAGGATTTATTCAAGAGCGAGAGACTTTGAAGCGCTTGTTCCAGGAAGTAGATCTTGTAGTCATGCCTTCAAGAACAGAGGGCTTTGGGTTGGCGGGACTTGAGGCCCTGTCAGCTGGTCTCCCTGTGCTTGTCAGTCACAACTCGGGGTTTGGAGAAGCACTGAGCAGTGTACCATTTGGTTCATCCATTGTAGTTAACTCAGAGGACCCCACCGATTGGACCGCAGCCATCACAAAAATCTGGGCCAAGGACAGAAAAGGTCGACTTGAGGAAGTGGAAATGTTGCGAGACTCTTACGATAAGAGATACAACTGGGCCAAACAGATAAAAGATCTTCTTCACAAGCTGATCAGCTGGACTCATGGTATGAATGTCAATTGTATTTCTAATTTTAGTGCCAAGAACTTTGGCCACGCCTGCTGGCCGGCGCCGTTTGCCTCAAACTTTTGCCTCTTACAAGCCAGATCAGTTACAGGAAACCTGAGGGGTTCCACTTTTACATTAATCTCTAAATATAAATTTTAAAAAATGTTTGCTTTGTCCTTTTTTTATGCAGATGATTTTTCGAATATCCAGAGCTCACCACAAACGATTGGTGCAACTGTTTCATCTTCTTGCCAGGCTTCCCAGGGAAGAATGGGCGTGACCGAGGACCATCCAGGTAATAATAATAGTAATAACAATAATAAAACCAATCTTTGTTTAAGTATCAGAACAATAATAATAATAATAATAATAATAATAATAATAATAACAATAATAATAATGATAACAATGATATTATCAATTAGCAATTATTGACTGAGGCTGAGTAGGATATGAAGAATTCTGCAGATCGAGGACACCCTCCGAGATTTGCAGAATTCTTAATATCCTACGAAAGGCGAATTCAGTAATTGTTTTGTTATTCCTTCAAAATAATTCCAAGTTTAAAAACAAGCTAAAACATGGTAACCTCGGTCGATGTAAGTTCATGTTTTTAGACAATATTTCGCCGTGAGACGAGTTAAATATTCCGCGACAGTTCCGCCATATTCTGCTAACTACCAAAACAACTCAACCTCGTCCCCAGGTTTATCTCGGTCAACGGTTCAATAACCTGCATCCAGGCTGCACTTTTGACGTCATTTTGACGTCATCGGTTCAATATGACAATATTCTTTCCAATTTTGGCCAACAGCAGCTGGTTATGGTGAATTATGCGTGTGGTTTTAACCAATCAGAAACGGGGTAATATTTTGAATGAATAATATTAATATTTATTTACTTATATAGCTCTATATCCATAAGAATAATGCCCTATATTGAGTCACATAGATAAAAACGTGCCTTACAATATAAAAATGGCTTACAATAGCCTCTAACTAAGCGTTAGAAAGGCTGAAAAAACAAAATTTACAACCATACAGGTAACCTCTCAAGAAATCAAAAGCGTGGCCGGAATTGAAAACAGATTTTTTTATCCAACTTGAGAATCAGAAAAGGGGAAGTAATTAAAATCGTACGATCGACGAGATTTAAAGAGTGTTTCCTATCCTTTATCCGATCCTTTATCCGATTTAGTCGCCAACGATTTAGTTACAATTAGTTTTGCGGGTTCAAAAGAGCAAGCCAAACATAGAGTTCAGTCCTTGTTCTTTGAGGACAGGGTCAAGAAACGCAAACTTGTTGGTTTCGACGGCAACACAATCCTTAACTCGCAGTGACTTTAAAAGTGAGAATGCAAAAAATAACTTAATTTTAAGTAAAGTGCGTCGCTTCAGTAGTCAGTATTTGTTCGAACTAGGAAAGAAGATTCATGCTAAGATGCGAATATTCACCTTCCTATGTACTGCTTAGAATTACATTTTGTGTTATTAGTGCTCAACAGTATTTTTGTAAACTCGAGTTACATGTTTGTACACAAGAAACCATTGCTTAAAATCTGGCTTAATCCTGGGTTGCTTAACCCTTTAAGCCCCAATATCCACATATAAACTCTCCATACTGATCTTCATACATTTCTTGAAAGAATTAGTTGAGAGAGTTTGATAACAGATCAAAGTATTTTCTCTTTAGTGATCATTTTATTAACTCTCACAACCATTTCTCTCGGCAACATATGGATATTGTTAGGAGAAAATTGACGATGGTCACTATTGGGACTTACAGGGTTAACCGTCTTTTGGGGTCTATAAGGTCTATGCTTCGATTTTAACAAGAGGACGACTTCTTATAGGTTTTTCTTTACCGTCAAAAGTACAATAAACAAATAATTTTGTTGGTTTCTTCTTTTAGACCTTGAGCCAACTCAGTTATCCTCCACCAAAGGAAGATTAAATTTTTCCCGGTTATGCCGTCTTCTTATCAGCTTGGGTTCAAAGGCCATCAGAGAATCGTTCGACAGAATAATTCCACCGCAAAATCTGCAACGCATTTTGAAACGTAACCCAGCACACGCTAAACTTCAGTCACGTCGAAAGGAAGGAATACTTAGCTCGATCCAATGGAGTAAACTATATCCTACCACACCCTCTGAGGTTTCATCTTCAAGCTTCGACATCCCCCTGTTAGTGGTGCTTCTAAGATCAATCTGTGATCTGAGTCCTCCACCTGCTGGTTGGGATGCTCCTCCTCTAGGAGAAGACACGAGCTGTGAGTCAGACATTGTGCGTCTGAAATATTTCTTCAATGCTGTGTCTGGACATGCTGGAGAAGGCTCTGTCAATGATGCTCTATTTAGTATCTATTGGCAGCAGATCCGTGACACTCTGGTACGACTGGGAGGAGCTGATTATGAAGATGCCATTAATGAAATGAAAAATCAGGACATGGACTTCCTTGATGAGGAACATTTCATAGAACTTCTCAAGCAGTGGAGGAAGGTGGAAGACAACATCAAAGACAAACTGAATGAACTGGAAAGTGAAGAAGCTTTTAAGGTGGCAGGTGAGCTTTAGTGGTAAAACCATAACGCCTGTTTCTGTTGGAATGGCTGGAATTTTAAATTGTTGCTGTTTTTATTATTATGTTTAAGCGAGACTTTGTTTTCCAGGTCTTAATATAAGGAAATTGTAGGTGTCGGTCACATTGTGCGGTAAAAAAATCATGATTATGAAGTTAGTATCTTTATTCCACGGATTCACCATTTCTGTATGGGCGTAGATTACCGGTACCCGTAGCTGTAAAAACGTGTGTTTTCTTTTTTTTTTTTTGGCCTCTTGAAATGTCTGGGCTACCAGTTGAACTTTGATGCCATTATCACATCTGGGAAATCACGGTTGCCTTTTATTCTACGTAGCAAACATGTTCGCCTACCCACGTACCCATAAGGATTCATAAGCAGAAATAGTGTCTCCTAAGGTCCCTACAAAAAAAATAAAGAGAGTAGCGAAACACAGCGGAGAAACGTTTAAACCGACAAGCCTTATTTCCCATAAACGTGCGCTTCGTAAAAGCATATCTAAGCCAGGACGCTGAAGACTACATGATGTATATTACACAGTATAGTCCTGAGTGGACTTATAAATGAAGACGCGCTGAGATCATTATACTACGTCTGTAAGAAAACAAGTCACGTACGAAAGAGGCAACCGTGTCAAAAATCGCGTTCAAGACAACAAGACTACACTACTTGAACAAAGTAACGTGACTAAGTACACACGACTGTTACAACACATGTAAGCCGACGTAAAGAAAAGCAGTGAGAAGAAGAGACCAAACCATCTGAACACAGTTGCGTATGAAAAAGCGGTAACTAAACATGACTAACATACAAAGTAACATTCGGAAATGAGGTTGTAAACAAGACTAGTACAATACGAGCGAACAGACTTTCGGAAAAACGGCAACAAACAAGCTATGAATAAAGCATATAACATGACCGACAATTCATTTTTGTCCGGAAATTTAACAATTATTGAATGAGGCAATCAGCCCCCTCTATCTGCACAATTGTTCGCATTATACGAAAGCTGAATCAAATAATTGTTTTATTATTCATTCAAAATATTTCTAACTTGTTGACCAGCTTACCTCTTCGTAGACTTTCTTCACAAATTTAGGCAAAATTTCTCGGCACGGTTTCAGAATTTAAACAAATACTCCTCTTACAGAGTAGATAACATCCATAACAATATGTGTTGCGTGTTCTTTCATTTATTTCCGCTCATTCTAAGTCGTCTTCGGATAGCCGTGAACGCAATTTCTTGGTTTAGTGTTGCCCAAGCAGATTCCTTTCGAAGCAAATATATATATTGTTCGCATCTTCAAAATTTGGCCAATGTCGGCTTTTCATGAGGAATTGGCCGGGAGATTCGAGCTAGTCAAAAACGCCGGTGAAATATTTTGAATGAATAATAATGTCGATTGACCGGCCGTTATTTGAAGCCCCGGTTTTCGTCTGTTTGATGCATTCGATTTTATCATATCTACCTACATACACATACTTTAATCAAGCTAGACTTAATGCAGTTTCTATTATTTTGCTCTTTTTAGATTTTTCATTCCCAACCGATATCGTAGAAAAGATCCGCCAGCTCTACGTTACACGTGAACAACGCGTCTTGCCTGTTCCTTGGTGTGAAGATTTCAGCTTTTATTTGAATGAAATTTTTACCAGGTTAAAGTTCGTTAGCAAAGAAAAAACCGGAGGCGTACTTCTTACTGATGATATAACCAACATGACTGCTATCTTTAAGGCACACGCGAAATGCCACCGGCCGCGAACATGTTTGGTTGAAGGAGATCCTGGCATGGGCAAAAGCACTTACTGTCAAAAGCTAGCATATGATTGGGCAACTAAGCCGGAGGAGTTGGACCCCTCTTTTCCAGACATTGACGTGCTGCTTCTTCTCAAGTGTCATGAAATAAGATCTAACATCTGGGAAGCTATCGATGACCAAATTCTTCCTGCGGAAATTGACGATGAAGCTAAAGAACGTTTCTTCAAATTTGTTCGTGAAAATCAGTCTCAAGTTCTTTTGATACTTGATGGGTTAGATGAAATGGACTCCAGTGAAATGAAAAGACTCTATCATCTGGTTGAGGGTAAAGAACTCTCGGGTTGTCACATTGTATTCACATCTCGTCATGAGATGGGAATGAAGGTGAGGAGATACTGTGACACTCTGTGGGAGATTGTAGGGTTCACCGAAAAAGATGCAGAGAGTTTTATTCGTAAGTACTTTAGAAACATCAACCAGGAGCACTTAGCAGAGGGTTTGATAGAAATGATTTGGTATTCTGATGAGCAAGAAGAGTTAACAAACTTGTCAAAAAACCCGTTAAACGTAACTTTACTTTGTGTTCTTTGTGAAGATTTTGAGGGCGTTTTCCCAGCGAGCAGGACTCAATTGTACAGTGAGATTGTCCTCTGTGTTTTAAGACGATATGAAAAAAAGCAAGGATTGTCGAGCAACAATGAAGACCTCATGAGCGTCTACAAGGAAGATTTAATGCATTTAGGACAAAATGCTTTACAGTCACTTCTAAAAGGGGAGTTATATTTTGAAGAACATGAATCCGGCGGCACCTTTATCACTTTATCCAAGTTTGGATTTCTTTCACTCCAGGCTAGTGGTAGCAAAAGGAAAGCTCGAGTACGTTATGCATTTCTCCATAAAAGCTTCCAAGAGTTCTTTTCTGGATTTTACCTTGCTTGGCAAATTCTTGACGGAGGTATTGACAGTGATCCAGTAGTAAAAGACGAGAGATTTAAAGGTGAACTGAAACAAGTCTTTTTATTCATGGTTGGAATTTTAGCCACGACGAGTAAAGAAACAGCAGAGTCTATTATAAAAATTATGGCTGAAAATATTAATTTTATAGATCCCGACTGTGTTAAGGACATTTGTGTATTATTTCGTTTAGCCTTAGGCTGCATCTTGGAGTGCTCAAATTTAGCTCAAACTTTAGGGTTACATCTTAACTTAACTAACTTGGATTTGAGTGCGAATGGGGTTGGTGATTCTGACGCTGTTTCCCTTTCCCAAGCTCTTGCAGCCAACTCCTCTTTAACAAGTTTGAATTTGAGTTCGAACCGGATTGGTGATTCTGGTGCTACTTCCCTTTCGCAAGCTCTTGCTACTAACTCCTCCTTGACTAGTTTGGATTTGAGTGATAACTTGCTTGGTAATTCTGGTGCTGCTTCCTTTTCCCAGGCTCTTACAGCCAATTCCTCTTTAACTAGTTTGAATTTGAATGGGAACGGGATTGGTGATTCTGGTGCTTCTTGGCTTTCCCGGGTTCTTGCTTCCAACTCGTCCTTAACAAGTGTGGATTTGAGTGAAAACATGATTGGTGATTCTGGTGCATCTTCCCTTTCCCGGGCTCTTTCAGCCAACTCCTCCTTAACATGTTTGGATTTGGGTAGTAGCGGGATTGGTGATTCTGGTGCTGCTTCCCTTTCCCAGGCTCTTGCAGCCAACTCCTCCTTAACTAGTTTGGATTTGAGTGGGAACTGGATTGGTGTTTCTGGTGCTTTTTCCCTTTCCCAAGCTCTTGCAACCAACTCCTCTTTAACAAGCTTGGGTTTGAGTGAGAGCGGGATTGGTAATACTGGTGCTTCTTACCTTTCCAAGGCTCTTGCAACCAACTCGTCGTTGACAACTTTGTATTTGGGTGGTAACGAGATTGGTGATTTTGTTGCTTCGTCCCTTTCCCAAGCTCTTGCATCCAACTCCTCCTTAACTGGTCTGGATTTGAGTGAAAACATGATTGGTGATTCTGGTGCATCTTCCCTTTCCCGGGCTCTTGCAGCCAACTCCTCCTTAACATGTTTGGATTTGCGTAGTAGCGGGATTGGTGATTCTGGTGCTACTTCCCTTTCCCAGGCTCTTGCAGCCAACTCCTCCTTAACTAGTTTGGATTTGAGTGGGAACTGGATTGGTGTTTCTGGTGCTTTTTCCCTTTCCCGAGCTCTTGCAGCCAACTCCTCTTTAACAAGCTTGGGTTTGAGTGAGAGCGGGATTGGTAGTACTGGTGCTTGTTACCTTTCCCAGGCTCTTGCATCCAACTCCTCTTTAATAAGCTTGGGTTTGAGTGGAAGCGGGATTGGTAATACTGGTGCTTCTTGCCTTTCCAAGGCTCTTGCAACCAACTCGTCGTTGACAACTTTGTATTTGGGTGGAAACGGGATTGGTGATTCTGTTGCTGCTTCCCTTTCCCAGGCTCTTTCATCCAACTCCTCCTTAACTAGTTTGGATTTGAGTAAGACGTCGATTGGTTATTCTGGTGATTTTTCCCTTTCCCAGGCTCTTGCTACCAGCCCCTCCTTAACCTTTTCTGATTGGAAAGTGAGGAAGAGGTGGAGGCGGAAAAAATGTTTATGTAAGTAAGTGTAAGTAAGATAATTTGTTAGTACTTAGTTTATTGATACGTAATGCATATTTATTAAATTGCCAGTATAAAATCACCGCTTTATGCTTTTGTTGTTTTAAGAGTTTGAGTTATATCGTAGAAGTAAACTGTTGATTAACGAAAACGGGGTACAGCTCCACTCAAGAAGTCAAGTTTTTCACGCCACTGAACTCTCGGTAGGTTTTCATTTAATTGGGTAGCAAATGATAAGGGTCGGTTTTTCAAACGAAGTTTGACGTATAACGAGGTTTTACTATCGTAAGACCTCCAGATCCCTTTATAAAGTCTTGACACTGTGTGGAAAGAAACTGTTTAGTTGCTGGGTTTTGAGAAAATGAAAACGGGTTAAAACACAGCGTAATTTTGTTAAACACTTGCTAAAACGTAACGGAAAAAGCGTCGTCTTCAGACCCATGTTCGTCTAAAGACAATTAATTTTACCCGGATTTCATCGATAATTTAAATACAATTTTCTCGTCTCGAGAAACAAGGAGCTGTATCTTAATGTGTCAAAGCTTTTGGCACTGCAGTGGAAAACAGTCTTTATTAAAGCTAACCCAATCGTGGTTGAATATTTAATCCTGTGTGTGCCCTGGCTTACCGCTGCCCTCGAACTACCAGGTGTGGTATTTTAAAGGGACAGGTTCACGGGTCAGCGCATGCTCATTAATTAAATTACTTTTTCCAATTTATTATTAATTCTATTAAAATCCCACTCACATGTATCTCAGCGATCTCAGGGTGTATTTCAAAGTACAAGTGTATTTCAGAGTAACCTGAAATAGGATGGAGGAGTACAAAAATCGAAGAAAAAATTAGTGGATTATGCCAACACTACCAACGTTGAATTTATAGTTGAACCGAAGGTTTTATTTCATGGTTGGTTAATTTACAGCTATTTGAAAATTTTCAAGTTGATCAAGTGCAAGTGACTGCCAGGGGAGTGTACAGAATGGTTCTTTGACAACGTTACTTGCATAGACGATAAAGCATGTCCCGGGAGAAAAACAGCATTTCGATAAATGAGCATGCGCTGAACCGTGAACCTGTTCTTTAATCAACTAATTTCGTTACGGAATATTAGAAAGATACAATTGTTTGTATCGTTTAAAAATGGACTTCTATTAGTAATGTTGTACTTGCTGAAAATTCACACTCCCGTGTATTGCCTAAATATATGGTAAAAGGTTATTTATTTGGGTCATTTGTATCGTATCGATGTTATATTTAGTAAACAACTTTGATTTTTAGGAGACTACTGTGCAACTGGATCGTAGACTCTGTTATCTATAACTCCGCAACGCTTGCTGTTAACCTATCTACCGGCCATGTTTAACTACTGTTCTATGCGACAACTCGCTATACTACTCGTTATTTATTGAATAAAGCTGATGATGTTGATGATGATGACCGAAAGTTGTTGCATTGTGTCGTTTCGCCCCAAGTTAATGCAAAACAGTCTTGGATTCTGGATTACATATCAGTAAACTTAAATTCCAGATTCCAATCATTCGTATTATTCCGGATTCCAATCATTAGAAGGATTCTGGATTCCAATCATTAGTAGGATTCCGGATTTCAAACATTAGAGGGTTTCCGGATTCCAATCATTAGTGGGTTTCCGGATTCCAATCATTAGTGGGATTCCGGATTCCAATCATTATTGGGATTCCTGATTACAATCATTAGTGGGATTCCGGATTTCAATTATTAGTGGGATTTCGGATTCCAATCATTAGTGGGATTCCAGATTCCAATCATTAGTAGGATTCCGGATTCCAATCATTAGTGGGATTCTTGATTCCAATCATTAGTGGGATTTCAGATTCCAGTCGTTAGTGGGATCCCTGATTCCAATCATAAGTGGGATTCTGGATTCCAATCATTAGAGGGATTCCAGATTTCAATCATTAGTAGGATTCCGGATTCCAATCATTAGTGGGATTCTTGATTCCAATCATAAGTGGGATTCTGGATTCCAATCATTAGAGGGATTTCAGATTCCAATCATTAGTGGGATTCCGGATTCCAATCATTAGTGGGATTCCGGATTCCAATCATTAGTGGGATTCCTGATTACAATCATTAGTGGGATTCCGGATTTCAATCATTTGTGGGATTCCTGATTCCAATCATTAGTAGGATTCCGGATTCCAATCATTAATAGTATTCCGGATTCTAATCAGTGGGATTCCGGATTCCAATCATTAGTGGGATTCCAGATTCCTATCATTAGTGGGATTCCGGACTCCAATCACTAGTGGGACTCTGGATTCCTTGAGCTGGATTCCTGAGAGTCGTTACCTCTTCCCAGGAGACAAAATGGCATCTGACCAACATCTCCTCAAAGGAGGAGTAGCAATTCACGCTTACAATGGTTAATTACTGACGCTACTGTCCGGGATCCGGTTGTAAGTGTGAATGCAGCCCCGGGGGGGGGGGGTACTCCCTTACAAGAGCCTAATGGGGATGTGCCGCTGGATGGGGTCGCATTTTCACGACTGGAGTGACTATAATGGGGTCGCATTTTCAATAGAGTTACTAGAATGGGGTCGCAAATTCTCGAATTTGAATTCCCGTTTGAAGAAGAATGTTTTTCTTTTCAACTATTTATGACGGTACGTTTGTAAATATTTACGGTTAGCAAACGTACCAGAATGCTTGTATTGTAGGTGAAAGTAAAGTATTCTTTATTCAGATTAAAAATTGTGTCAATTCGTTTTTGGATGACCCGGCTTTTTAAAGGATTGGCAAGGTAGATGCATAAATAGAAAGTGACTAAGTTGGGATCGCAAAAATTACATTTTCCAAAAAGTGACTAAGATGGGGTCTATAATTGGCCAAAAAATAGACTAAAATGGGGTGGGGGCTCTGAGAGGCCAGCGGCACATACCCAGCAAACATTAACCCAAGTACCCCCCCGGGAATGCAGCGCCTATTTGAGGGCGGCGCTCATCTACGTTTTGTTTGTAATGCAAACGGTTCGCCAGGTTATGTAAGGAATTTCATGAAATGTTGACTCGCCAATGGTAGGTCAGCGGTTTGGTGGGTAACCATTCTACCCGGGACAACAACACATAAACGGGGCCTAAGAACCAATCAGAACACCACAAACTAAAATATGGAATGTTAGTCTTGCTGGGTGAATAATGGACAGTATCTTTAGAGCAGAGCTTTATTAACAAGATGTCTGAGCAATTCAAGTTTCAATTAAACAATATAACGGGGATAAAACCAGACTCTGGTTCCAGCCTCTCAGGTAGTAGGAATGACGCGTAAGTGAAATACGCGTGAAAATATGAGCACTGGACTAGGAATAAGGGGAAGCGCGGCGGCGGTGGCACAGCCCTTCCTCTCCCCAGTTTCATCCCATTCTCGTGTTCGCGCTTTCTCAATTGGAGGACACAACGATCTCAGAGCCTTGAACAGCTAGGGGTGTAACAGAATAAATTCAACAAATTCCTAGATTTCTTGGCTGATATAATTTATATAATTCGCATGGATTAGCAAACATTAAGACAAAATGACAAATGAACTACGAGACAGAGCAAATGCAAAACTAAAAGGATAAGACTAAAAGAAACAAATAACTCTAAGAGAAAGCCCGGGGGGAGCAATACACACCGGAATTTCCAGGTGCATGAATATTGTTTCTGTAACATTTCCATTTTTTCTTTAGTTAATTAGAATACTTTCTTAAGACCCTTCCAGTCAGCGAAAAAAAACCTGTTTCAGCAAATTTGCCCGGTATATTCGAGAGAAATCTTCTTCTGGGGTTTATCTGTGAAAAATACTAAAAATAAAGACTGAGAGCTACTGAGAAGTTCTTGGAGTGAATTGGAAATCAATCTGGAGAAAGACAGGGAACAATCTTTAATTAGAAATGGCGTCGTTTAACTCGTTGGCGCCTCTCGATCCACCTCGGCAAGTTGTATTTTTTTGCGGAGGTTGTTGTACGGTAGGACCACTGTTTTAAATAACTCAGGTTCGATAAGTGTTAACTTGGAATAAAATCTAATCTAACTCTTTAAACCACAAAATATAGCAGGCATCGTAAACTTAAGTGCGCGCATCATCATTCATGAGCGACCTGATTTGGTAAAATTCCTTTGAATCATAGAGGGTGGCTTCATTTGCGATATACGCGTATAGCTGTCGCATTTGTCTTATGGAATTTTTTATTGTTTTTAGGCTTGAAACCAATAAAAAATTATAGCGGGCAAATTGTCTTTATCCAGTGGGTTTTCTGAGGGGCTTTGATGGTTGACGGTTTAGTTTTTAATTTCCAAATATTTTCAGATACAAGCAGTTTGTAAGGTCTTGTAATGTTTAGGAAAAGTGTTTTTTGAGAACATGGGAAGTGGTCTCTCCAATTAAGAGAAGAGATTCTTCAGGAGCCAGAATCTTGGGAAGATCAGCTCAAATAGTAATTAAGATATAAAGAAACCTTGAAACTTTTTGATGGTTTATCTTTCTTGCAATTTTGACGGTTGGGAGTTAAAAGTAACCTTTTTTCAGTTAACGGTTAATTTTTAGCCTGTTTGACGGCTGATTGTTGACCCCGGCATGGAGACCCTCTTATCAGCTTTTGAGCAACTAGAGCCAGGCACACCACTCACTGAGGCGCTTTTCTTTTTATAACGAAACTGCGTCGCAGCTCTTCTTGGGCAAAAAGTTCCGCAATTATTTTTTCCTTTCAGGACAGGTCAAGCTAAGAACGGTAATGGGCTCCCGTAATTGAATACTTTTCATTTCAATACTTGCAATATTTAGGGCCTTATAGCAGCTTTTGTGGGTGCCCTGTCCTTAAGGCAGCAGAGAAAGGAAAATCGTATACGTCGTATACGTCGTTACTAAAAATGGGCTCACCGCTTATTTCCCCTTGGTATGTGACAAAAAAAACCTACAAAGTCAAAAACCTACAATCAAACATTTTTCCGTTTCATTATCTTCGTTGAAAGTGAACGGCCGGAGGGAAAACCGCCTTCCTTCACGCGGGATATTCGGAAGACATGACAAGATCTTAGGCAATCGCAGCGATTAATCTCGTACTCACTTTTCAGTGTAAAACAGAGTGAGACCTGGGTACGAGATTACACTGTGCTATATCTCAGCTTCCCTTGTGGACTATATAACATTTCAATCTAATATATCCGTAATGTACAGCGATTTTATACAATGATGTGAATGCTACGCGCGCTGTGAGTGGTCGTTGCCCATGATCTATTAGAGTACAGATACATGGATGACGTCGCGGGAAAATTGTTTTCTTTGTTTTGTTCAACATGGCACGCGGTTTTGAAAATGTTTGTGAGATTATTTCGAATTGAGGCAAGTGAAAGCTTCGGAAAAAGTTTAGCTGGAGCTATTTACAAAGAAGAAAAATGGAGAAACGGAGACCAAAAAAGCTATTGACTACTTGACAATGCCTAAACTACAAGAAATCTTCACAACAGTTGCCATCGTGTGTCTTCGCTACGAGAGACTCGCTGTTTTGCAAAATGTTTTCGCTATTGTTCTTCTTTGAGCAAGAACAGACGGTCAAAAACTTTTCGAAGAAACTGTACACAAGTAAGATAAAGAAGAAGCTAAGATGAAAAGTTGAGTTTGGGACTTACAAAATGCCTAAACTAGCACAAATCCTCAAAAGGTTAAGCGGTTCGAGGCAGGTATGTGTATCGGTCTTTTTCTTTTCTGATCATTGTATAAAACAAATAATTTCCATGTTGCCGTGGGTCTGTTCAGTAATAGATCACAGAGGACGTCAAAATGTGGTAAAAACAACAGTGACACACTCGCCTACGGCTTGTGTGCCACTTCTTTGTTTTTACGACATTTTGACGTCATCTGTGATCTATTACTGAACAGACGCACGGCAACATGGAATCTATTTGTTAAATATACTACACAATTCAACGCCATTAATAGTTTATACTGTTTAAAAAATAAATGTGGGAGGATCACGTAAGGGCTCCATTGTCGTAAGGGCTCCATTGTCTCAATCGCTTGCATTGCAGTATTTAATTGATTTTTGTTTGTATCTGTAGCGGCTTTCTGGTGTACGCTATAGCTATACGGTAAACCGTGACAAGCTGGAACGCTCTACAATATACAAATACGGGGTAAGAACTTTTGAAGCCTCCTTTATTTATTTTTGCAGGGATTTTTTATATTTCTTCTTCACGTGGTACGAAGCAGTGAGTTCCGGGCCACCGTAAAAAGAAAACTACAACGTTGGGGGAGTAAAAGAAATACTACTGTTGTGCCCGCGATAATACTGCCAACAACGACAGTTACGACATGCGCAGAGACTCGCTTGCGTGCGTCAGGAAAGGAGCAAAAAACCTCCATTGATAACAGCTAGTCAAAAACTTACCCAAAGCACATTTGCCTTATCCTAGATTCACAGGGTAATGATCAGAGGAAGTTTATAGCTCGCCAGTGTCAATAGATATACAGTCAGGTATAAAGACTTGACACACTGTGGAGCTCAGGGCCGGGTTGTTGAAAGCTGGGTTAAGACAACCGAGAGTTAGTGTGAAATTTGAATTCAAATATGAAAGCTCAGTTTAATTCTTTTTGTCAACAAGTTGATGGTTGGATGGTCTTAAAAATTACGGAGAAAAATACCCGAGACAAATTTAAAATTTAACCCTGAGTTAAGGGCTAATCAGCCTTCGAACAACTGGGCCCAGGTGTTTAAGAGCCGAGTTGTCCAATATAATGCAAAGCAGCTATTTGAGAGGGGTAGCAGCTTGAGGGAAGCACCGGCTGGAGAATCTGGCGAAAAAAATTGAAGAAACGTAGATAATACCACCAAAGTTAACATGGGCTTATAGTCATTAATGTACTAGACTCTATGATCATAGCCTGTCAGCACCAAAACAATTTCCGGAAGAGGCACTAATCAATACGCTATCTTTGCTGAATTTGTTCATCCAACGATACCTTTAGTGAAACGAAAGACCTGCACCTCACTCGAATTTCTTTAAAAGACTCCAAAATACTGGAAGTTATCCATTAAATAGGTCGTTAAAATTAGTACCGTGTAATTCCGTCTTACGACCACCTCGTTATTACGACCACATTGTCTCACTGAGAATTGTTCTATTATTTTGAAGACCTCATTAATTGACAGGGTTCAACTGTAAATAACTTAAAATTAACTAAAGGTTCTATTATTATTAGATGTTTTTAAACCCTGCCCTCTGCCAAGATTTAATGCCCGCAGATTTTAACTGAATTAACCAGTCTCAAAGGCTAATTTCGTTTCAGACCGTATTCTGGAATAGTCGAAGTAAATGGAACTCTAGAATATAGAAATCATAGTCTATGTAGTTGTTATTGTTAATGTTTTGGCAGTCACTGCATCAGTATAGGTAATAGCATGATTAGTAGTGATATTTGGCATAAATACCACAAGTGATATTTCAAAATTGTTATACGTAATTTCAAGTGAAATTTGAGACAATTTTTAAATATCACGATAGGTATTTATGCCAAATATCACGTACAAATCATGCTATTATTTGTTTATACTACTACCCGCAAAAGGTTTGTAATTTTCACATGCAGGTATTTCAAATTAAGCTGAAATTAATACCACTGCTCTAAGCCAATCAAATTACAGTGATTTCTCATGTAGTAGTATAACTGAATTGCAATACCTAGAAATTTAAGAATATTTCAATAAAGATTGATGTTGTTCAAAGTGTTACTATAATAACGACTAAAAAAAAGTATAAGCATGAATCGTCACCGAGCCGTCTATTGGGTCATCCCCCAACGCGGCAATTGATAGTCTCGGTATTAATTAGTTATGTAGCTTCTGGTACCACAACAGTTCGCTTGCGAATTTTTCGACAAGACAGAGAACTCATAAATTCTTTCCTGAGAGCGCGGTTTGTGGCTCCGTATATAAATGGATTAATGGAAGAACTCAGACACAGGAAATAAGTGAAAACCAATTCTCCTTGTCGAGGGAAACGAGGATCTACCATGTTATAACTCATGTAGTTACACATCATGGCTGGAATCCAGCAGGTTAAGAATCCAAGCAGGACAGCAAAAACTGTCTTAGTTATTTTCACTTCTTTTATCCTCGTTGCTCCAGAAATAGGCTGTGCGGCATTTGTTGCGGATGTTTTGGAGAAAGTGTTGTCGGCTTGCCCTTGGAAATAACTACTTCTTATTGCTTTGAACACTCGAAAATATGACAGGCATATTATGATCAATGGAATTGCAACCGTAAAAACCAAAAACACGTGCGAGACCATCTGGGACGTTTTTAGTTGCTTGAAGGTCGTAAAGCACATTGCGCGTCTCGGGTCTAACGTGATCCTCGCGAATCCCGCGGGACAAGAGATAGACACGACGCTAAGTATGATCATCCCTTCGGCTGCCACCATGAAAAGAGTTGATTTCTTGCTGAAGATCTTGTTGTACAGTCTTTGATGCACTACGCAGATGTAGCGATTTACGGCCGTTAAAGCCATAATGTGCATCGACAAGCCGATTAGAGCAGGAGACATTACACCTTGCAACAGACAAGGAAAGCTTCGAACATCAAGAGGATTGACATCAACGATCCATTTTCCTGTCATGAGAACTATTGTCGCTAAAGTTTGGGTAAGGCAAGCCGATAGCAAATCGGTGACTGCTAATACAAGAATCAATAAGTTTGTAGCAGTACGGAGTCTCGGATTTCGCAGCACAGCAAAACAGATTAGAAAGTTTCCAACAAATGCTGTGACGGTTATAAGAAGCATTATTCCAGATTCAATAGCGATAAGATACGTGGGTCTCGACGCAAGTTGTTTGAAATATTTCGGCGCCAGCCACCAATATGTCTCATACAAATCGGTCGTTGGATTCATGGAGGTTGAGTTTTCCAT